CACCTCGCGATGGGGAAGCGCTGGGATCCGCCTGGGACGCGGCTTGGACACAGACACGGGGCCCGCAGCACGGCTCGGGGTGGGAAGCGCTGCTTTATTTGTGAGTCCATGTAGCCCCCGGGGTGCCGGGGGGGAGCGAGCCTGGTGCAGTGCAGCAAGCAGGGCTTGGATGGACACGGCTCTTCCCGGTGCTGGGGAGGGGTGTTGGTGCTGGTCCTGGTACATTGAAAGGATGCTGTGCCCATCCCAGGGCTGTGAAGGGGTGCTGTGCCCACCCCGGTGCCATGGAAGGATGCTGTGCCCATCGCGGTGCTGTGGAAGGATGCTGCATTCACTGTGTGCCTTCTGTTCCCAACAGCAGTGCTTTCCTCCCTCAACAACCCAGAGCATGTCCCAGACGTGCAGGAGCGGGAAGGGTGCTGCTGGAGGAGGTTTGGGTGACGGTCCCTGTGGTTGGATTTTGGCTCACGCACTGCAGCCGTGTGGCCTCCTGTGCAGTGCAAACCCTATGGCCAGTCAGGCACTTATCATCCCTTCCCTGGTGGTGTCCCTGATGCTCTTCAGGAAGCTGAAGATGTGGGACCCTCCGGTCCCTTTGGCCTCCAGTGCGGACGGCGGCTTCCCCATGGAGGAGCCAGACTTGCCACCCGGCTCTGCCCGCCCGGCCTTGGCCTTGGCCACGGTGATGTACTTGGTGACGATGATGATGTGGTAGGACCTGAAGTCCGCCAGCGCAGACACGCACTGGTTGAAAGCCACGTGGAGCCGCGTGTCTCCGGAGGAGAGCACGTGCTGCTTCAGGGATGGGGCTCGGCGGATCTCCTCCACGAAGGCTCTGTGCGGCGGGGGCATGTAATCCCTCATCCTGTGCAGGAAGGCGGCTGCAAAGCACCAGCAAAGGAAGAAACCAGTTGTGGGCAAGTGGGTTAAAGCGCCCTGACACTCAGACACCCCTTGTGCTGGGGGTGCCCGACAGCCCGTTAGGTCAACGCTCCATTAGGGTTGGTTCTAAGCCTAAAAGGTAAAGTTTAGCCCTTGCTCTCAGCCTTTGGGTTGTTTGGGGGGTTATTTTTTGTTGTCAAAATGGGTTTGCTAATTTCTGATAAATACATTCTGTGGGATGGACTAAAGCGACGAGATGCGAATGGATGAGCTGAGGTACTGGCAGGACGCTGGCGTGCTCTGCTCCCTCATCTCAGTACCCATATATAACCTCAGGATAAAGTTGACACACAGAACGCAGAGGCTGGTCCATCTAGGAATTTATAGCAGTAAGGAAGTGCTGCCAGAGCCTCGTTTACAGGCTTCCTCCCTAACAAACTGGGCAGAGCCAGGCTCTGCGAGGGTGAGATGGGAATCGCTCTGCCTCAGTTCTTCCCTCACCCCTTATTCCCTTAGGAAAAAGGAGAAGTGTGTGACTTACCACTCTCCTCACTGTGGCGAATGCCCAGGAGCTCATCAAAGGCATGAAGGATGGTGCTCTGCGCCGCGCTCCCTCCCGAGTACTCCATGGGCTCATCAGATACCCCTTCGTATATCAGCCCATCCGGCATGGCCGGGTTATCCTTCCAGCTGAGCAGGGAGACACAGCAGGGAGCAGAGGGGCTAAGAACGGGATGGGGGGACTGCAAGTGGAGACCCTGAGCTGGCAACATGGAACGAAACCTTCCTGACCCAGCCATGGATCTCTTCCTCCTCACAGAGCCTCGTCCTCAAATGGGAGATGCACGTGGAAAGCAAACATTGTGCCAAGGGGCACAATAAGGTCATGGGTACAGGGAGGAATCCTTCATTATCCTGTGCCTAGGAGCTAGGGGCCGTTCTATGGGATGCCGTGCACAGAGGAACACCCTCGGGCTTCGGCTGGGGCCGGTGCCATGTGCTGGTTTGCACGTGCAGAGCTGGGTGTGCAGGAGCAGAGGGGCAATAATGGCACTTGACATCAACGCCTTGAGATCCCAGTGGCCACTGGGAGCAGCCGGTTGCCTCTGGGGCAGATGGAGTCACCCGAAATACCCTCCTGACCCCCTGAAGCTTGTACTTTGGATCATTTCTTGTTACTGCTGAGATGGAGTCCTTAAAGACAGCGCAGGACAGCAGAGAACCAGCCTGTAACGTGATTTCCTCCCTCTCCTCAAGCTGCTCATCCTCAGCAAGCCCAGAGACTGGTGCATACATCAACCCACATTCCCTGCACCCAGCTTCATGTGCCTCTTGTGCAAAAATGGGCAAATGCTCGCTCGCAAATGGAAAGAGGAGTTATAATTTCAGAGAGATAATGTGCCTGGCACAAAAATATCTCTTGACCTTCTGGAGAATGCACCCGTTTCATGAAGCTTTTGGTGCTGGCTGCTAAGGCTGCTCGACTGCTGGAGCAGATTTTGCACAAACTGCAGAGAAAATAGATTCATTACCAAATACCATCGTATTTTTAGCTCTCCCAGGGCTGTATTTATAGTAATCTTTACTAGTGGGAAGTTCTTATAAGCAGAAGGGAATTTAAAAGGCGTGTTGTTCCAGGCTGATGACCATCAGCACAAGGTCAGCTTGGATAAAATATGAGAGAAACCTAATCCGGATGCATGGAGCCTTTGGACTTAGGAATGCTGAGATATGCTGAAGAGGAATAAAAATAGAACCCCCCTGAGAAGGATGCTCGCAGCCCCGCAGGGAAGAGGAGGGATGACAAACCCGCAGCGCTGGGTTTCTCTCACAGCCATGGCTCTGCCTTGCCCAAACGACCTTTCTCAGTGTTTGTGGGGGATTATTTTACTTACCCAGAGAGAAAGATGCGGATCACAGCGTAGAACACTGCTGGATCCACGTAGTCTAGGAGGAAAACAGGTCACGGATGCTACTGCAGGCAAAAGGCAATTAGTTCCCCCTGCACCAGTGGTTCCCGTGTGGCTATGTCCCTCCTGTCACAGCTGAGGTGATCCAAACCTGCCCTCAGAGAAGGACCTGGCATGGTGCTGGTGCCCTCTCCCCATGGTGGCTTCCCTGGCCAGGCCCCTTGGGTACCGCTGTGTGCAGCACAGCATCGGTGCTCGGAGCTGCTCAGCCCAAAAACACCCCACTCTTTTACCCTGGACCCATTTGGGTGCTCAGGGACCGTGCATCATGCTGGGATCACTGAGCTGCCCCGGGTTGTTCCCACCTCCTCCCGCTCCATCCCTCTAGAGATGCTTTATGGACCAAGCACTAGTTCACCAGCTGATGAGTCCCACCTCACCGTGGGACATGAGCTGCCCTCCACCCGACGGTGCTGTTACCATGCATCCGTTTCAAAGCCTTGCTCATGTCCCGGATGGCCTCTGCCAGCTCCTGCAGTGCTCTGTGCAGGGTCTCCTCATCCAGCTGCAGGACGGCATGAACAGCCTCAACGATTGCCTGAGAGAGGAGAGAAAGGAGCACGCAGAGTGATGAGAGGCTGGGACATCAGTGTACAGCAGCCCTGGGTACCCACTACCAGCTCTGGGTACCCTGTCCACAGCCCAGAAACAAGGGTGCAGGGCTGGTACCCACCATGGGTGCTTTCTGGGCAAGCAAAGCACTGAGGCACAGTGATCCCCTACCTTAAACCCTGGCACAGCCGCCTTCTCGACCAGGAGGGTTACGAGGATGAAGCCTCGCAGGCTCTCTCCCCCAGGCAGCGAGATGATGGTGTCCAGGTTGCTGCAGCAGCCAAGGATGGGGCGTCAGGAAGGTGCTTCTCAGGGGTCCCCCCACACACCCCAAGACCCGCTGAGCATTGGAACAAAACCTTCCCCAGCCACAGAACCTCTTGTCTGCGCCCTGGGCAGATCAGAGCTGGCCCCGAGCACAAGGGGAGAGGGACTGCTGTGGTTTGGGGGATCCAGGACCCTCCCCATGCACTCGCTGGGCTATAAGGCTGGCCCAGGACAGGCAGGCTCAGCCGCAGTCATGGCACTTTGCTGTTGTTGCAGTAGCATTCGCCTGCCAATGACTGAGCTGGTTTTGTTGTGCTCATACATCAAGAGAGAGGTTCAACCTAAGCAGAGCCCTGCAGTGTTGGAGAACCACGCCAAGCCCAACAAAACTGATATTGCCTGAAAATAAATAAGCATCTTAAATACTTACTCGATTTCCAGGGGCCTGAAGGCGTTTTTGTTTTTGCCAGCAAACGCACAGAAAAGGAGAGAGAAAGAGAGACGTTACGAATCAGTTCAGCAACGGGCTGTGTTCTGGGGGGGAACAAAGGAGCTCGCTGGCCCAAGGGAGGCCCCCACAGGCACCCGTCCTCTCTGCATGAGACAGAGCCCAGGTTGGTGGGTTTCAGTGGGGTTTGGTGGAACAGGAGCAGTTTGGGAACTGCTTGTCCCCGTTGTGCTGGGTGGGACCTGCTCAGGGTCACCACTGTTGTCCATTTACCCATTGGGGTTCTTCCTCCTCCAGTTGGCCAACACGAAGTCTGCGTGGCTGAGGATGGGTGGGAGGCCCAGGGCCTGCGAGACCTCCCAGAAGGGGACAGCAAGGTTTCGGGGCAGGACCTGGATGGCATAAAGCACAGGAGAAGACAAGGACACTGTCAGGTGAACGGTGCCAGCCTATGGGGTCACGCTCAGGAAAGGGGCTTTGCTCCCATGGGATGAGCTCAGGGGAGCTGTCCCCAGACCCCAAGGAGGAGGTGAACTTGCTCTGTGTTGCTTTTACCTTCACGGTGCCCTCCTCGCCCTCCTGCCAGAGGTAGCCCATGGTGATGAAGCTGAGCACCAGATGCGCCAAGTGCAGCTCCTCGCGCCCGCGGAGGTGCCGGGTGCTCAGCTGTGGCATCTGCCAAGGACAGACCCTGCCAGTGCCAATCCCAGTCAGCCTCCATCCCCTCTCCCTTCCCCGGGTTGCTGCTGATTCCCTGTTGCTGGTCTGGGAACATGGACAATAAATCACAGCATTTCACTTACAAAGGGCATCCCTCTCCTTTTGCACGGGTCTGGCTGGACCAGGGGCTCCTGGAGCCCTGGGTTCCTCGGCCAGGATGAGCCCAAGGATCCACCAGCAATGCTGGTGCGTTGCTGTTGGGTGGCATTAGTCCTTGTCTGCATCTGCCCTTGCTGAGGACACAGCTTTGCTTTTCCATGTGCTTTTGCAGTGCAGACACTGCTGTGTCAGAGCAAGCTCCGAGAGAGCTTCAGGGCTGGGAAAGATAAAGGTACCTGGTGAACTCGTGAGCGGAGCCGATGGCTCGTGATCAGCTGGGGCAGGTCGTGGGCAATCTCCATCCATGGACCGTAGGGCACGGGCAGCTCTGTCTTGGTAGAGAGGGGAGAGGGAGGACACTTAATGCGCCATGTGCCTGTGTCCACCCACCAGCATCCATCCAGCCTCACGCGTGGCAGCTAATGGTTTGTGTCTGCTTCCCCCACTTGTAATACCAGCCCGTGTGATCGTGGTTAATGGGTGATAAACAAGTATCTGCCTGTCCCTGAGCGCTCCTGCTGTGAAGGAAACCTGGTGATAAATGGCACCGCTTTCAGCACGGAAAACGTGCTGGGAAAGTGCTTTCCCTGGGGCCTGAGTCCTCTCCTCGTCCTCCTGGGAATCCTGCGAAGCCAAGGCCAAAATGAGTTGCAAACCTCCTTCTCCTCTCCCTTTGTGCCACTTGCTAATAACTTGTAAACTGAGGGCCGTGTCCTATGAAACTGTCTGTGCCAAAACAGCACGTGCCTTCCCCATTGCTTTTTATAAGGTGGTTTAAAGTAGCATTAAATTGGCACCCAACCAGAAAGCCGCCCACCGAGCTCTCTGTTCCCCTGCTCTCTGTCCCCTGCGGCACCCAGCCATGTCCTACCAGAGGCTCGGGAAGCAGGGAACCGTACTCCTCGGAGAGCTGAAACCTCGCCAGCGCCAGGGGCAGCGGGGGCTCGCTCCTGCGAGCCGTAGCCAGGCTCCATCACTGCAGGGTCAGGATGTGACCTGGCTCCCGGCGTCTCTCCTGCTCCCAGTATGTGCTGAGCCAGCACCTCTTGTCCCAGTGGGAGCCCGAGCCCAATGGCCGGAGGGGCCGAGCAAACACGGTTAAAGGTTGCTGATAAGGTGCTGTCATAGAGCAAACACTCATCATCTCCAGCCCCGTGGGCATCCACCTATGGGGAAGGCTCAGGGATGGGAGCTGGCTCTCCTCAGGACCTCCCCTTGGAGCTGCAGCGATGCTCCAGCCTCCCATGGGCGGCTGCAT